TACCTAGTATATTAGTAGCACAATAGAATAGAATATTTAGTTTTAATCTCCTCCTGGTCCTGATGATGCTAAATAGTTAGCGAAACACGTGTCGAGGCGTATAAAAAATATCGGTTTGATTAGTGGTAAAATAGTGTAGTAAATTTCCTCTTGTCGTATGAAACTGTCTGTTTAGCGGTTCTAACAAACTAATAAAATAAATTGGTTATCGTCAAAATACCAAAAATTCTTTACTTCCTTCGCAACTATGTTTAGAAAGTAAATAAGAATCGTTCAAAATCGATTACAAGTCGGATGAATTCGTGAAGAATCACGCTACAATTTCTGAGGAAACACGAAGTTGAGCCTTGATTTCAAGAGAAAATTAATGTCAAACTCAGTCAATTTTTTTCCCGTTTTCCTCATTTTGCCGGTGTGTGTATGAGATATTTCATAACTAACAAGAGACGTATGTAATATAGGTATTCTCATCATGAGGTATAATAATAAATAGAAATTACAAGGATTCAAACGTCAACTGGGGACTATTCACTCACGTTTTTCCACCTACCTAAATATTTGACAGTAAATGATAACGGCAAATCAAGCACTGTAACGATAATGTCCTTATCCCCCATATCGGAATATTATTGTAGGCTCTAAACACTGATAACGAATTGCTGCACCACACCTATATGAAGCACAATGAAATTTAGGACCTCATTCCCACAATGCTACACGTTACTTCATCACAACTTGTTCACGACCTTACATCCGTTTTTTTTGTCATCCTCATTGGCCAGTATTGTTCCGTATCGACTGTCATGATAATACCCCCTTTTCGTTTGCACCTGCTATACTCCCCACTTTGAAATGCAATCACCTTATCTCGGCACAAGCACACACATAAAGCTGAAAATATGTATATCAAATAATGACGATCATATTATCTACAATGATTTTTATTTATTTTACATAGATACCCTGTGTGCTAGTTATTTTCATTTCTAATAGCAGGAAATGAAGTCAATGTGTACTGTGTAGTCGTGATTTGTTTCGGATAAAAATGCAGGTACTATGTGACGAGATTATTATGATGAAAAGTTTTCATTTGAATATAGGTAATAGTAATTTTCCTAACAAGTGCGGAAAGTGATTCTTTCCCGCACGCGACTGCTGTTGACACGAACGACGCGAAGCGGAGTTCGGGCAAGCAAAACATGCAGGATTCCATTATGGTCGATCAAAAATTGAAAAAGAACTGACAACTTCATTTTCCATGTCTTTTAATCAAATTTTATATATATTATATTTTCAAATTTATTCCAAAATGAGGTTCTCAAAAATGTTCAACTTGAGATGCATCGTTGAATTCTAAAAAATAGCTGAATTCAACAACAAAAAACTTTCATATCATCCCATTTAAAAAAAAATCTAATTTGCTCTGATTCACGTGAAGAAGAATTGACGTTTGCACCAGTTTGATTTGATTGTGTTACTTTTTCAAATCATATATGTATTATGAAGAAGTACGGAATTGAATATTGCGACATTATCATAAGCGACATAATAAAGGATCTGTTAAGGATTTGAAGTCGTCAAATGAGTTCTAATGAGGTAGTAATTGGAACTGTGTGATCATTCTTATATACTAATTTCGACGAACAGTGTGTTAGAATGAACTATCCTTGATTGATAGTCAATTCTCTAAACCTACTAGAAGATAACAGACACAATGGCTGATGTTTACATTTTTCAAAAATACTTACTTATGTATTGATAAATATATTTCAATAACTTGACTGTTAATTTAGTCTCGGGACAGTCTGAGTTTTATTCCTGACCTAGTGAGTCGGTGCCAAAAATATTCTAAAAGATTGTGATCCGCTGTATATCAACAGATTCTGATTTATTATAAAGGTGAGGTTCGAGGGAACAACAGAAATTTGATGATCCATTAGTTTGGTGAATCACCATCACTAATTCAATAATAAGAGAGAAAGCTATGATGGCAATTATTTCAGTACTTTCAAGTACAGGCGACAAAGTTATTTCAGATGCCCAGCACTTTATATTTCACTTATGTGTGTGTGTGCCAAATTATTTTTCTCAATGACGCCGCTGTCAAAAATAATATGCGTGAGAAAGCAAGCAAAATAATCTCGATATGTTTGCCACTAGCCACTTTTCTAAATAATATTACGTATCTATCTACGCATCTACGCCCAATGTTTCAAAGTAGGTGCTACTTGGTGCTACTAAAAGTGCGTAACTAAAACTAATCAAGCAGTGTTGCCAAGTTTTTAAAATTATATCACAATGAATAAAGCAGGTGAGAGTATGAAAGCAATGTAAATAATATTTTTTTCTGTGACGGGAAAAAAGTTTGGCATTTCATCCCTGTTAGCAGGTTATAAGATGTCACTTTTCATAAATTACTTTTTTCCCGTGGGAAATATTATATATCGGGTGAGAAGTTTTCTAAGTGACACGACAGAAAATGATTAACTATAGGGTACCGTTGGAAAGAGAATTGAACGCCCTTCAAAATGATGTACCACTTGAACCCCCTTCCCGTTTGAGATTCTAAGGTTAACATCTAACCCTCCTAGGGGGTTGAACCAAGAGTGCTAAAACAAATCATTTCAAGTGTCCCCCTTGAAAATGAAACCGACCTGTTTTTTCGAATTCCCATATTATTCACAGCAAGGAAGATATATATTGAGGGTGGGAAGTTTTCGAAATGTCACCCTGTATAGTATTATTTCGTTGAGAAACTAACCAGCATGCTCAAACTGTTAGATGCATAATGTGGTGTACAGATGGACAACAAACCAATTGAATTAATTAAATTATGATTAGTGGCGTGCAACGACTTTGTTGAGAAGTTAATAGAACCATAGAGAGGAGAGTCACTCACTATTAGTTGATTTTTCATTGTGATGCGTTTGGTAGGGAATTGTTCGATCCATTAGTTTACCCATTTCATTTTCCCATTCAACATGTTGCTCCTCTACTCCAGTTACGTTGTTGGTAAGTTGTCGACTATTATCAACAAACTGTTCTGAATTTTTTAACAGCCCCCAAACTTCTAATGATAATCAGTAGATCCACTTTTTTATATGGTATCGGAATAAATGTATGCACATGCTTATAAGCTCTAAAATATGTAGCAATTCAGATGTTGACCCTCCTATAGGTCGTAACTTAGCTACTCGCTTGGCTTTTTGACGAGAGGTTTTGATCATTTCACCACCAAACCACATTCATCCCCAAATAAAGAGTCAAGACCTCGGTCAAGACAGTTCTCATATAAAATTTGATATTTGTTTGATTAAATGGAAAAAATCGTGAATAAATGCTTTCCACATGGCATGTTAACAAAGAAAAAGAACATAATGGCTTGCCAAATGAAACAACACTTGAAAAAAACAGTACTTACATTACAACGTCTAGCATGAGGTTCACCAGCAGGATTGAAGTCGGGGAGATGGTGAACATTTTTTAAATGATCATTACTAATGACTTGTATTGATAATAATGATGCCTCATTGACTCGGGTACTATTTATATTCGGAATCGATGCTAGGTTCGCAATTTTCCGCAATGGGAATGGCCATTACCTTTCGATATTGCTTACCTAGGTATTATCGCACGGTAAGCGGTTTTTGCAAATTCTACAGGAACGTCTATGAACTCCGCTGACCTGATCGAAACTACACTACAATGGATGTTTCAATTTGGAAAAGGTAATTTATAATTATATATCTTGCAATGAACGCGAGTTTGAGTGATGTTATTCCATAGGCATTTGTACTTCTTGACAATACGCTAAATGAGTGAACACTCAAAGGAATAAAATAATGAAAATAGTTTATTGTTCTCAATCGCAAAAGTTCAAATAAAAAAATCAGCCGATCTACTGGAATAGTGTATTCACAAAATGTTTTTTTTTCTATGTCAAATCTATTCGAAACATCTTTAATGCGAATGTTATTCCTTGAAAAGAACCGTAGATTCGAATACTTGATAAATAAATGTCTTATATTATAGATATCTTCATAGAACCATATAATTGTATGGTATAGTGAATAAAACAAATGCATTGTATAATATTGCGCCATGTTTATTCAATGAAGTAGCTGACCATCAATCGACGCTACTAGAAACGTGGAACACCCAATTGAATATCAAAAATCCAGCAATGTGGGGATGATTCCTCCCCAACTAAATTGATGAAACATATAATATTCCGTTCTGATTCCAACTAATTTGAATTGAAACACCTATATGAATTTTCTTCATTTTATAATAATAACCAAAAGTGAAGTAAATTGAGGCACTTCAATTTCTTGCCACAAATGTTTTAGTACATATTTTGTTATAAGGACTTTCCACTTGCCGTGAATGTGGAGAAGATGAGGAGACATCACTTCACTGTGAGGCGTATGGAAGGATGAAATTCGAAATCTTTGGAGGAGATAAACAACAACAGGAAGAATTGGTCAAATTAGAGTGGACGGACATCCTGACCTTCATCAGAAGGACGGGAAGGTTCGAAAAAGACTACTAGAAGAGGGATGTGTAGATATGTGGAGAGCAGGGGTTGGCAAAAAGGGCTAATGGGGGCCTACTTGCCTGGCTACAGCCTCCCCACAATACTACTACTACTTGTTATAAGGACTGTATAATAGTTCTCTATGGAATTTCTCGATATATTGAGATGATATATTCATTGTAAAGACATTGAATAATCGTATTCAACCGTTGATGTATAACATCACTTCCATAAGATTTGCTGTGTAGCAGTTCTAACAACTTACATTCAAGATAAATTGCTACTTAGGATTACTGTGAATGAAATAAAATTCCTTATCAATTTTGGCGAAACAGCAAATTGGCGTCTGCAAAATATTAGCCAGTATCACTGGTTCCTTCTTTTCTATGTCCTGGTTTTAAATCTGAAAAAAACGGTCACCTCACCTCATATATGATTGTTCTAGGCTGACCCCTGAACCGTAATGGCCGACTTTTCCGTAATCACTCACAAGGGGTTCAAATTCCTCATCACCAAGAACCCGTCCAACAACTCCATCGAGGGTTTCATCAAGGACCTCAAGAGAAACAACGTCAAAGTCGTGGTGAGGGTATGCGAACCCACCTACGATACAGAAGCGCTCAAAGGAGCTGGGATTCAAGTCTGCAATCTGCCTCTACAAGACGGAACTTTCCCTTCTGAAAGGATAATCGACGAGTTCTTTGATATCCTCAAGAGGCAGTATTACATCAATCCGGAATCCTGTGTGGCTGTACACTGCGTAGGAGGTAACGTGCAGAAAAACCCTTGAACTCATATTAAAGGTGAAAAAATGCAAGGGGGGGTAATTTCTTGTCAAATGTTCAGGAAAACTATTATTTATTTATTTATTTATTTATTAACGGGTGAACCCAGTGTAAAAAAAACATGAATATATATAGCCTATACAACATATCACAGACCATTGATTGATTTATACATATCTACACTTTAAATACAATGAACATTAAAAATAACTAACATGCGTTCTACTTTGCTCCGTTTTTGAAATACAGATATTTTCGTAGAGGTGGTTAGTGTCCTTCATGGACATCATATCAATCAATCAATCAATCGATCAACTTCATTATTCCCAACAACATTTGTATATAGCAGGGACAATGGTGAATATATGACAAAATAAAGAAGAAAGTGAAATAAGACTCACACTCATGAAGAAATCTTTTTTTTAAGCTCAACTGAAAATGATTCTTAATTGACTCAGCTGTTACCAATGGAAAACTATAGTAGTTGTACGAGAAAACTGTATAAATGAGATAAGATGTCAATATTACAGGAGTAGATGTTTCTTGAATTCCTTTTTTAATTTTTCATTCCTATTAATCAGCTTCAAGTTTTTTGGTAGTGAATTGTCATGTATCATTTCATTGTGATAGATTAATTTTTTACCAATATCTGATTTCATTTTCTTGACAGAAAAATGATCTGCTTGTCTAATCGTATGGTTGCGGTGACTACTATTAATTTGGAAAACCAAATATGAATGCTTTTGACAATGTTTAACTGAATGAATGAACGATATTAATTTGAATTTATTTGATGAATCTATTCTATTCCCCCATATATGATAGTGTGGGAGTCCCCTGACTCTAGCCAGGGTATACCCACTAAACACTCGACCTGTTTATAAGCTCCCTGACCGATGTCTTCGACAGCACTCAGGCATAGTGGTCCACATTGTATCTTGCCAAGTAGTTTTTTCATTTCACCCACTATATTATCTTTGTACCTTGGTCAAGTCTGTACAAATCCTTCACTACCTATGATGGCCCATTACCTGTACTTTCAAATATTGCGTCCTCACTGTCCTAGAGTACCTCGAACATCTTATTTTACGCTTTTGGCAAAAAATTATATGTTCGAGGCTTCACACTGTCCTACCGCCACACTCAGCTCATGTATCATGCCTATTGAAGCTTAGTTTTCTCCTAGGTGATTTTGGCGTTGGCGATGCTAGCAATGAAACGTCGCTAGCATTGCCAATGCCAAGGTAGACTAGCAGAAAACCTTAGTCAGTTGGTAATAATTGTCAGGAGCTTTTACTTCATATTAGTGATTTTATTCCTAATAAAACCGAAATTGGAGAGTGTTGATCTATAAGAAAACTGCCTTTATGTTTGAACTTTACTCTCATAGGGAAATGAATATGACAGATGTAGTATTAATGAAAATGCGCATTATTGTCGGTCTATTTTTGTCCTCAAATTGATTCTAGTGTAAATAGAAAATAGAGGTATGCATTAGTTTACCCATTTCATTTTCCCATTCAACATGTTGCTCCTCTACTCCAGTTACGTTGTTGGTAAGTTGTCGACTATTCAACAAACTGTTCTGAATTGTTTAACAGTCTCCAAACTTCTACTGATAACCAGTAGATTCACTTCTTTATATGGTATCGGAATGAATGTATGCACACGCTTTCAAGCTCTAAAATACTGTAGCAGTCCGACAGTCAGATACATATATACAGGGTGAGTCAAAAATGTGTACCTTGCTTTCTGGAGGTGATAGTACTGTACCGAAATTGGAGAGTGTTGATCTATAAGAAAACTGTCCTTAATGTTTGAACTTCACTCTCATAGGGAAATGAATATGACAGCTGTAGTATATGAATAATAATGCGCATTATTGTCGGTCTATTTTCGTCCTCAAATTGATTCTAGTGTAAATAGAAAATAGAGGTATGCATTTCGTTTATGACTTCTTCCTCAATGTATTGTTTCTCATGTATATTTCAAGAATGTTTTCCTAGTAGCTCTAATGTTTTGCCTGATGCTAGTCTCTAACGGACGCTCGTGCTTTACGTTTTGGTACCCCATGAATCTGACTTGCCTTGCAAGTTCGTCAGCCTTCTCATCGCCAGCAATTCCCTGATGTCCCGGTCCAGCATGTTGACGTTGGAAGTATTAATTTTATTTTTCTAAGATCCCGTTTTTCATGCTTTCATGATATACATATATTCGAGTATATTGAGAAATCTCAATTTCAATTGCTTAATCAATTAAAACGATGTACTTATCTCGAAAACGAAGCAAGTTAGATGACAAGATGACAAGATGACAAGATGACAAGATGACAAGGAATTAGATCCTGAATTTTTTTTATTTTCCTAAGTCACAGCGCCGTTATACATTTTCCGATATTGATGTAGGTACAAAAAAGCAAATAATCGTTTTGTAGTTTCTCGGCCGTTACTTGATAGAATTCCATTGTGAATGTAAAAAAAAGATGACATTCCTGAAAAATTCACGTTCCACTAAGACAGTAGCTCTTTCCAGTGAAATAATATTACAATAAATCAATCTAACATTAATTTGCCTAACTATACATAAGTACATATACAGGGTGTTGCGAAATTCGACCGACAACGCTTGACAAGTGAGCCCTCGTGATTTCATAATCACTGAGATAGGGACATACGGTGTTCAGTTCTTGAGATACAGGGCGTTGAAGTTAAGAAATAAAAATAGTTTTTTCGCAATATCTCAAGAAAAATTGGATATAATGCATTCAAATTCGGTATATGGTTTCATGTTCCAATGGTTTATTTTTTGATCAGAAAGACATTCCTTCCATATTCTCTACGCCACTGATGGAATTTTGATTATTTCCAATTCCTCGAATTGATTGTTCAATAATGTTGAAAAAATGCATCACCTTCAACGAGCTAAAATGGACAGTTATCGAGATATTTGACCCAAAATCGAAGTTTGCATAGTAATTTTTCATCTTCCCCAGTCGTAGAAAATTACCAAAATGTTTGTTTTCTCTTCATGCGTGGAATATCTATTTCTGTTCAGCTACAGAATGAAATCTGAATAGTATCTTATCTACTCAAGACCAGAAAAATATTTTTGCAATTTTCTACTACTGAAAATGATGAAATATTACTATATGCAATCTTTTATTTTGGGTCAAATATTTCGAAAACTGTTCGTTTCAGCTCAGTTAATGATGCATTTTTTAAGCAAAATTGAACAATGAATTCGAGGAATTGGAAATTATCAAAATTTAATCAGTGGTGTAGAAAATATGGGAGGAAAGTTACCACAACTTCCTGTAGGGCACCACTGGATAAAATGTCAGGAATGGCTTTCTGGACAAAAAATGACCCATTCAAAGATGAAACCATAACCGAATTTGAATGCATTATATTTTATTATTCTTTCGCAGCACCCTGTATAAATCGGACCCAATGGATTGAAATACCTTCGGGCAGGCTAATAATGAAAAATATGCACAATATCTACATTGATATTCAGTGTGAGATATCAATTTAAGAGGAGTGATACAAATATTATCTACTTACGCTGACATAAATCATCAAAAAATTATACCAAATAAAGAAATGAAACTCAATCATTGGGAATCAATTTATTTTTTCAGGTCTGGGTAGAGCACCTGTAATGGTAGCCATAGCTCTCATAGAGTTAGGATTCTCGTATGAAGACGCAGTTAGCCATATCAGAGAAAAAAGGCGAGGAGCAATTAATGCCAAACAGCTCGAATTTCTCTCAAAATACAAATCCAAATCTCGATTAGTCAATGATAAGAAGAAAACTTGCAACATTCAATGAACGACCCCCTTCAAGTAGATGTTATAAGATGACACAACAATCTTCAAATCTAGATTAATCCATTAGCGTCGTGCGTTGCCATATGGCAACGCTAGGCAAATTTTAGACTATTAGGGTGAGAGACAGCCCACATGATTCGCAAAGGAACCGGTTAAGCGCATGCCGCCATTTTTCTGTTGTGAGTAAGCTGTTTCGATCACGTGAATTTGTGAAACTTTGAGCTCATTTGAACTGACGTAAAATTTGGCTCCTAATCACTTGGGTATCAGACGCGGCCATCCAAAATAGCTGGAGTTTGACAAAGACTGTGTTCAAAATGTGATGGAGGTATTTGTGTTAATATTCCAAAACATGTATCATAAGCGCCTAGTGTTGCCATATGGCAACAGCAGATTGTTGGAAAACCTGAATTCCATTTATGATTCTTCAAACTTATCTCGTCTTTCGAAAGCATTTCACACTAGTTAATGGCCATAAAATTTCAGAAAAAAAGGAAAAAATAATTCCGGCGCTAATGGGTTAATTGTCGGCAGCTGAGAGAATGAGACTCTTCAGATAAATTAACTTTTCACTAGCCGCTTCAATACTCGTCAAAAATTCATTTTCTCTAATGTACCATATGTTTAAACGAATGTTTCTCGTTTATCTCTACCTATAGAAGTCGGTTTTTGAATTGAGAATATGGGTTCATTTAAATTTCAATCATTTGATCCAAATAAAATTTGTTTGGATAAAACATCCTCACTGCCAATAAAATAAATCGATTTGTTTGTATTGAATATAATAGGGTCATTTGAAGGACGAATTGAAATTCAAGAATATATTTTCTTGAACAAATAATAACAACTATAGTTTATTTGACATAAGAATTCAAAATCACTATTTTCATTAATATATTTTTGGTTTATTTGAGTGAAGTATCAAAGAACTGCACAAAAAATGATAATGCACATATTCGTGTATACCGTGTGTGCGATTTCAACCCGCAACACCCTCCTAATTTGGAACTCGTAGACCGATTTTCAAAAACAAAAATTCCTCAATATTGCACTCAACGAGCTCTATTCGAAAATGTGAACAAATTTGAAATAGTCAAATTTTCAAGGCCTACTTTTGTTTGTTGAAAGGATCAAGATTTCAAAAACGACTATTAGGCAATTTTTTTCCGAAATAGTGACTAGCCTATTCGATTCAGGTATAGCTGAAATACCCCTATACGGAATTTTAACGCAAAATCTCATATAGGGTTTTAGTTATTCAATGGCGAGTTGATAAAACCAATGAAGTAGTTATTCAACAGAGGAACACATCGAATACATAGGTACGAAGATTCATCGCTGTAACTTCTACAGGAAGATCTCTCTATAGGTCAACCAATAATTAATGAAATTGAAATCGATTTTGTTTTTATTATGATCCATAACTTTTTCCTAGGAGATATAGATAATGGTGACTAATCTGGGGAAATATTCTCTATACATAAAAATTTTCATGGTCATCTCCTAGCAGTCTTTAGAAAATATTTGTCTGTCATTCTATTTGTGTTTTATTCGACAGCTCTTTATCAAACAAGATGATTTTCAGAGTGACTGTGTGGTGTAGTGTGTGAAATACGGTTTACTTGAGTTTTCAGAATGGTGATTCTCAACTTTAGCTTTATTGATTTTTGGTCGATCTTCCTGTAAAAGTTACAGCAATGAAAGTTCGTACCTATGTATTCGATGTGTTCCTCTATTGAATAACTACTTCACCGGTTATACCAACTCCTCAAATTTTGATATAGGTTGAATCGAAAAATCAAAAATATCAATATTTGCCATTGAATTACTAACACCCTGTATGAGATTTTCCGTTCAAATTCCGTATAGGGGTATTTCAGCTATGCCCGAATGAAATAGGCTAGCCACTGTTCCGAAAAATATTTGCCTAATATTCGTTTTTGCAATTTTGACCTCATCAACAAACAAAAGTAGGCCTTGAAAATCTGAATATTTCAAATTTGTCCACATTTTCGATTAGAGCTCGTTGAGTAGCATATTTTAGAATTTTCGTTTCTGAAAATCGGTCGACGGGTTCCGAATTAGAAGGGTATTGCGGGTTGAAATCGCACACACTGTATATAGCATTTTTTCTGATAAAAATGTCGAAAATGCTTTTATTTCTGACAGTGACATTATAAGCTTATATCGTCATAGTTACGATATCTATTATGAGGGTCATAACTCCCTTGGGATGTTATAGATGCTATAATTCCCTCTAACTGAAATTTAATAAGAAATGCATAGCAACAACCACGCAGTAACGTAGCAATAAGGAATCTCCTATTCGCGGTAGTCAAGATCATCATCTGACGTTCTGATGACAATGAAACTATACGAACAAAAATTTCTAACTTCCAATCGGGAAGGTATCTAATGAATGAAATCAGTCAGAAATAAAATTATCTATGTATCACGGGAATTACTGAGCCTCAATAACCTCAGGCAATTGCTGTCCCTCGGGCCAGAGGCCCTCGGGACGCAAACTTTGCCATCGGTAATTAAGGCCCTCATAATTCCCTTAATACATAAATAAATATTTTATATACCATAAGTGATATTTTTGTTTAGATCTAATGTTTGATGTAGAGGCGATGGCCATACCTAGTGTGAGTTTTGGCTTGATATGCTGAGGGTTCTGCTACCATAATCTTTGTTTATTCTTCAAGTGTTTTCTAATGGAGTTGGTCTCTTGAATCAAATGAATATATTTTTGAACAGAATCAATGAATTATTTTTATCAACTCAAATCTGGAAATTGCTATGAATATTTAATAATTCTTTGTTTCAAATACTTGAATATATCCTACAAGTGAGTAAATTATTTTCTTCATTCAGGAAACTGGTCACATTTTATTAAACAACATTTATTTGAATCAAATAAGTATCAGCATTGTCTATCAAATAATTCGATGTTTTCAATCAGAACTCCTATTTTGTCAGCCATGTAAGAATGAGGGATTTATTTAGGTAATAACTGTCATTCTTAAAACAAATTTTAATTAATTTAACTGATCCAATATTTCTTTACCTTAGGAGATTTTAAAAAATGTTCTGATGTATATCAATTAATCATTATGCATGTTTATGCATGTTGTGTGTGAAAATATTGTATAAGTACATGATTTTGTCCAATATTTGGAAATAAATTATGTGGAATTTTTTTTTGGTGTATAATTCCGACGGCGATGAAACTTGGGCTATACAGAGTGATTCACGGTGGATGTCGTATTAGAAGTATTTGGAGAACAGAAAGACAGGTCATCCTGAAAATTGGTAAGCGTCTAGTTCCCATGTTGTGATACATTGATTGAATCAGCTCTTCAGGGAGAATCTAAAAATGCAATTAAATACAGGGTGTTTCATTTGAAATAACAATTACAAAGTGGCTACTTATTTCTGATACGAGCGCCAACGCTGGGTGATTACCAATTTCCAGAGTAATCTGTCTCTCCGTTCTTCAGATACTTCTTATACGCCATCCACCGTGAATCACTCTGTATATTATGTATTGATTCTTCAACAACAATTAGTTGAGAACCTATTCGCATTCCTAATGAGCTAATATTTTATTGCTATGATGGAGAAGCATATTATACAACAGTCATTGGCAAATCAGTTCAAAATAGAAGAATTATGCCAGAAAAATATCAAAATCTACAATATATAATTATAGTAATAACCTTATTAAATAAATCCGTTTGAAGCGCATAATCTTCTAAATTTCAATGTATAACGTTATAATGTCGAAAACTACCTATTTCCCACGTTTATTTTGTGAATAGGGTCATTGTTGCCAATATGAAACTAATTTAAATTCATAATTAACAAGATATTGTTACTCCAGAAAATTATTGATTTTTTTCACTAGTCTGCACCTCATTCTCATCAAGCGAGCCTCATAGATTTCTCATTATAATGTATCGAATATCAATATAGATTTTTCTGATAGCAAATAAGCAATGCATACAAAATATTAGAAGCACCAACTTAAATTTCAGGTAAATATATACAGTCTGACCAAGATACGAAGTCGGTTAAATGGGAACAGCCTTCAGAAATTTTCAAAATTATTTACAGTTTTTCAGTTATATCGAAAAAAGTTAATTTTTGGAATATATTTTTTTTCTCCGTTATTATTAGAGATACAGAAAAACTGAAAATAATTTTTCATAGCAACTTTTGATGACGTTTAACGTAATGATACCTATTTTTTTATGCGACGTTTCGTATATATAATTTTTTCACAGATTCTGAAAGCTTCCTTTATTCTGAATTCAACCATGTATTATACAAGGTGATTTGAATGTGTTTCGACCTATTTCTATTCATCATCAATGTTTTTCAGAAATTCCAAACTGGTTTCTTCCAAAAATATTCTAATTGATTTTCAAGCAAAAAAGAAGAAAATGACTATTTTTTGTGCTAGTACCTCTCCCTCTAATCTACGCTGGTGGATCACCGCAAATCAGAAGATATATTGGGTGATAAATTTGAAATTAAGGCTCTGTATACATACAGGGTTGGCAGAATCCCTGATGAAATAGTCAAATTTCTCGAGAACAGCAGTTACTTTAACAAGAAACTTCCGGTGAAAAATCGAAAAAACCCGGAAAAACCACCATAGAGTTTTCCGATTTCCTTCATATTTTAATGAGTACAATAAGATGGCGAAATTTCAAGTCGATATGTCAAAGGGTTCCGGAGATATATCGATTTATGATTACCACAGAGTACAGACAGACAGATAGACCACACACAAAAACCAAAGTTGCTCAAAATTCGATGGGGATAATTTTCTCCAAAGTAACAATACCTCTATCTCGCTTAGTTTCCGAGATAGCATTTTTGGCAAGGCCGTAGTATACTCCATTATACAGGGTGTTATTTAAGTACGTGGCCAAACTTGAAGGGGTGATTCTTTGGGTGATTCTAAGACGAAAAGTTCATATAAACGTAGGT